CAACACGGTCCAGGAAGGCTCCGAGACCGCCCAAGAGGCGCCCAAGACGGCCCAAGAGAGCACCAAGACGGCCCCTAGAGAGACCCAAGAGGGCGCCCAAACATTCAAAAATTAAATTTTCCTCCGCGAGAGGGCCCCAAGACGCCCGGAGAGAGCCCCATGAGGCCCCAAGAGGCCCCCAAGAGGCCCCAAGGAACCCCCAAGAGGCCCCCAAGAGGCCCACAAAAGATCCCAAGAACCCGTCGTCGTCGTTGTCGTATCAAATGGCGCAGCGAGGCCATTCTTCGTTCAAACCACCGGAGGACCCAAGAGCTCCTCCTCCTCTTCCTCATTCTCTTCCTCCTCTACCTCCCCCTTCTCCTTCTCCTAGTTCCCCGTGATGTTTCGCGGTCCGCCCCGCCAAAGGTCTAGCAGAAGCAGCTCTCCGCGCTCTCCCAAGTCTCTGCTGCGGATTTCTTCCGCGACACCTCGGCTGCGCCCCAGATGTCCACATAATCTGCGCTCTCCATCCTCTTCCTCCTCCTCCTCTTCCTTCTCCTCCTCCTTCTCCTCATCCTCTTCATGTCCCTCCCCCTGCCTCGACTGAGCTTTTCGCGGCGCTCAATGCAGACCGTCGGGGCCGCGACGCCATCTCATCCGGGCGCGCCGTTGGCGCCCTTGCCTACCTTGCCGGAGAGGGCCGGCCGAATCCGAGGAGCCCCTGGGGGATTTCAAAACCTGCGCCGCCTCTTGCACTACCTTCGGGCCCCCTTGGCGGCTTGGGAAAAACCGTTCCTAATTCGGGGGGGTTCTCTCACCCTTTGCCGCTTGACTCGCAGAGAGGCCGAGCGGCGCGCCGCGCCGCCAGGGACGGGGAGAATGGACAAAAAAAGAAGCGGAGAGGGGGGAGAGGAAGAGGAGGAGGAACAGGAGGAGGAGGAGGAGGAGGAGGAGGAGGAGGAGGAGGAGGAGGAAAGGAAAGGAAAAAGGGAAGGAGGAAGAGGAGATAACGGAAAGTAGTCTAATCCGCTTCGCCAGAGATATGCTCGCAACTCCGACCTCAGAAGCGCCTTGCTTCGCATCGGTCCCGCCGTTTTCGCTTGAGACATCATCGCAGCTTTGGGGCCCGAGACACTCTCAGTTGAGGTGTTCCAGCCACTGTCGCCTGAGACACTCTCGCAAGTCTCACTTCGGAGGTGCCTTGCACCATGGTGGTTCGGCCACTTTCGCGTGCGACTTCTCGCAACTCTAAGTTCAAGGATGCCCTGAGCAGAGGTGTTCAAACCGCTCCTCGCTTGAAACTTCCTCGCACGGCTGACTTCGGATATGCCCTCCCCTGAGCGGAGGTGTTCAGGCCATTTCACCCGGGACGTCCTCGCAACGCTGACCTCGGCGACGCACTGCCCATGGTAGTCTGACCACGTTTGCCTGAGACCCTCGCGCCTTTTAGTGGCGCGATGATATGAGCAACTGGTCAGGCCATTACCGCCTGATATACGCATGTGTCTGCGCACACATAGTTACACTGACAATTTGCATATACATGTACATACCCATACAAACGTATAATATATGTACATATGTACTATGCATTCATAGACGCATGTGCGTGCGCATGTACGCACGCTCGCACTCCGCTAGCGTGCGAATTCCAAAGGACCAAGGTGCATGGCGCGCAGCGCCAATGCAGTCTTGTATATATATATATATAAATAAATATGTATATATATACACATACGCACAGTCGCGTATCCCCCCCGCGTCGGTGGCGAAAGGAATCGCCTACGAGTCTCTTCTTTGGGTGGTGTTTTGGTGTTCTCGGGAGCCGTGTGGGAGCCTTTGGGGCCCACCTGTTTGGCTAGATTGGGCCACCTTGGGGCCAACTTCAGGTTTCATCTATGAATTTGAGCCGAAACGGCGACAAAACGAAACTTGCTGAACAAGTCCAAATCGATCGACATGAATTCGACATCTCGGGGGGCGTTCCTGGAGCTTCGTAGCCCAGCAGAACCGGGTTTGGCAGCATATCCATCAACCTGCAGCATGTCCTCGCGAGGTTGTAATATGGGGATACTGGAGCCGTCTTGGGGCTGTCTTTGGCTTCTGTGGGTGGGGCTCTCTTGGGACCCTCTTGGGTCGTCGGCTCTCTTTCCCAGGCTTTGTTGCCGTCCACTTGGGGTCCTCTTGGGCTGTCCTAAGTCCTGGGTCGATATTGGGCCGTCTTGGGGCTTCCTTGGGGCTGTTATGGGTTGCCCGAGAGTTTCTGGAGGCCATGTTTGGGTTTCTCCTTGGCTCCTCCGAGGCCCTCTTGGTATCATCTTGAGCCCAGTGGCGCAGCAAGCAACACATATGCAAACACATGGTTTCCTGGTGTCTTTGATTATGTTGGCCTTCCTGTGAGGCTTCCCGGCCCGCTCTTTGATGTGTTGGGAGCCTCTTGGGGTCAATTTTTGGTGCCTGTCGGGGCACTGCTGGCGGTTGATGAGTGCCTCGTGGGGCCACGTCGGGGCCATTTTGGCGG